CCCCAAAACCCCAAAACCCCAAAACCCAAACCCCTTGAGAATATATGCAAATGAAAAGTTAAATTGTAATACTCTGAAATTTATTAAGATTGGATTTCAAAACTAAAGACAAAGGGGTTTTATTCTATTTTCAATGAGCTTCCTACTCAAAATCTTCTAACTCCTCTGGGGAGGCTTTTATTCCAAAAAGACCCTGTATTCTGATCTTCATTCTGTAGAGGGTGAATAAAAATCTAAACCAGTAGTATCTAATGTATTCTCTATAATAAGACCAACCTCTATAAGTTTTTACTTCATTTCTGAATACCTTCCATGTTACCTCATTCTAAAATTAAAGTAAAATTATCATCGGAAAATCTTACGATTATGTTGTAAGAGTTATTAGGATTTCCTAGTCTGTTATCAATTGCTCTCAAATAATTGTTAGTTTTCAATACTAGTAAAAGTTCTCTTTTTATCATATCTAAAATGCTAACTATGTCCTTGTGATAATAAAGGGCATATCTCTTTATGGCGTCTTTATCCTCGTCACTCTTAACCTACCCTAGTCTGGATTTAGTATTAACAGCTGTGCCTTTATTCATAACATCCTCATATGTTCTATTGACTATCATAGCTGTAAACAATTCGTAAAAATCAGCACCTAGTTCTTTTGATGATTCTTTTATCATTGGTTCATCCTAACTAAGGATACCTCTCCATAACTTAGTATAGCTTAGTCTAGTCTCCTCGGTTAAGCTGGTATATATTCCATGATCAAGTATAACCAATTCGATATCTTCCTTTCCATTAATTAACTTTTTTCTTGCAAACAAGTTACCTGGATGAGGGTCTGAATGAACGAATCCCTTCTCATAGATCATAAAAATGAAAGTCTCTGAAATTATCTTTGCTAGTCTCTTGAGATCATATCCTTTAGCATGCATTTCTTTTACATGAGATACTGGTATCCCCTCCTCAAATGACATTACTAATACTCTTTGCCTTGTAAAATCAGAATATATTTTTGGGACATATACATTCTTGTTATTCTTGAAAATTTCTCTACATTTATTAGCATTCTCAGCTTCTTTAGTAAAGTCCAACTCTAATGGTAATCTTGTCTTGAATTCTTCTGGTAGCCACTATAATAGTTATAATACTGTAAATTGATACTCCATATTTAAACTCTGGAAAAAGCTTGCAGGCTATGTCAACTCCAAATTAAATTAATCTAAGATCACCTGGAACTTATTCTCTGATCCATTTATGCTAAACTTTAACAGCAACTACTTCTCCAGTTGATCTCAGTTTGGCTCTATGAACTTAAGCAAGCGAAGCACTGGCTAAAGGCATTTCTTCGAATTCTATTCATTTATATATGTAAAATGATGGAATAAATACCTGAAAAGACTTGCTCAATCGTCTAGCCAAGATCTGCCTCCACTATTTTCCTGACTTCTACAAATGGTGTTTTGGGAGCGTTCATGCACATAGGCTCAAATGCCTAGCAGTATTCTTATGGCAAAAGCATTTGCATCTATCCTACCATTTAGCCTAGTTTGATATATGGCCCAGCATTCTTTGCAAAGCATTCGTACATTCTATTAGCAGCCTTAGCATGAACTTCAGATGTTATCTCTGGAGCCTAAAAGCAGAAATATTAATGACGATAATGCTAGACCATGATGACACTTACATTAATATAGTCAGAGGCCATCATAGATCCTGCCTTTACTACTCTTATTCCTCTATTCATCGCTGAAATAAGCTACATAGGTTCTTTCCTGAGTTCAGGGTAAGAATATGCGGTTACCCCCACACCTCCTACTAATGTGACACTCGTCAACTTGAATAATTTTCCTATTACACCCATTCCTGGAATTCTATTTTATGGCAACTACTTCTTAATTGAGAAATATTTTAATTACCATCAAATTAATTTCGTAAATACCTTCAATAAAGAGATTAGAGGAGATGGGGTTTTGGGGTTTTGGGG